CTCACCCGCCTGCTCGTTGGCCGCCAGGTTCTGCTCGAACTCGATGCGCAGCATCTCGTACTCCTTGCGCACCTGGGCCAGCGTGTCCTCCAGCTGGATCACCTCGGTGCGCAGCCGCTTCTGCACCCCCAGCTCGTCGCTCTGCAAAATTTGGGAATTTCGGGAATTTTTGGAATTTTTTTGCAATTTTTTTGACGCTTTTTTGGGGTGTTTTGGTGATTTTTTGCCAATTTTTCTCGATTTTTTTCCTCCATTAATTCAAATTTTTTCCCCCGCATTTAGAAGAAAAATCACCTAATATTTTCTGGGATTCTTAAAGGAATTTTAAGGAAATTTTAAAGGAATTTTCTGGAAAGTTTTTAGGAAATTTTTGAGGTTTTTTTTTTGTTGTTGTTGTTGTTTTTTGGGTTTTTGTTGGTTCGACCATTGGTTCCACCTGTCCCAAGGATCCCCTTGGTGCACAGCTGCTTCTGCACCCCCAGCTCGTCACTCTGCAAAATTTGGGAATTTCGGGAATTTTTGGAATTTTTTTGCATTTTTTTTTGGGGTGTTTTGGTGATTTTTTGCCAATTTTTCCCTTTTTTTTCCGATTTTTTTTGCTTTTTTTTCTCCATTAATTCGAATATTTTTCCTCACGTTTAGAAGAAAAATCCCCTAAAATTTTCCGGGATTTTTAAAGGAATTTTTTGGGATGTTTTAGGGATTTTTTTTATTTTATTTTTAAAGGATTTCCCCAGGGATTTTTTGGGATTTTGATCCAGGCTGGATCCCCTCTGCGCCAACCGCTTCTGCACCCCCAGCTCGTCATCTGAAAAAATTGGGAATTTTGGGAGTATTTGGGAATTCTTTGGGATTTTTTTCCAATTTTTTTTGCAATTTTTTGGTGATTTTTGGTCATTTTTCAGCGATTTTTTGCCAATTTTTTGTGGGTTTTTTTGCTTTTTTTCTCCATTAATTAAGATTTTTTTTTGCCTCACATTTAAGAGAAAAATCCCCTAAAAATTTCAGGGATTTTTAAAGGAATTTTTTTGATTTTTAAAGGAAATTTTAAAGATTTTTTGGGGATTTTTTGGTGAATTTTTAAAGGAATTTTTGGGGCCATTTTGGGGCTTTTTGGGACCACTGGTTCAACCTGCCCCAAGGATCCCCTCGGGGTGCAGCCGCTTCTGCACCCCCAGCTCGTCACTCTGGAAAATTTGGGAATTTTGGGAATTTTTTAGGATTTTTTTCTGTGCACTTTTGGGTTTTTTTAGATTTTTTTGCCATTTCCCCCATTTTTTTCCATTTTTTTTTCTGTTTTTTTTCTCCATCAACTCACATTTTTTTCCTCACATTTAGAAGAAAAATTCCCTAAAAATTTCTGGGATTTCTTTTAAGGAATTTTTTGAGAAATTTTCAAAGGATTTTTTAGAAAGTTTTTAGATTAATTTTTGGGAATTTTTTTTTCTGTTTTTTTTTTTGGTTTTCTGGGACCTCAAAACCCAACGTGACCCCCCAGGGTCAGCAGGAGCCGCCTCCAAAATGGCGCCGGCCGCCATCTTGGATGAGGCATGATGGGATTTGTAGTTCTGGCTGCCAT